ACGTTTTGGCTCCCGTGGCACCGCTGAGCGCCAGTTTGCAGGTAAACCTGAGACCTCTCCAACTGTGAGGCCTTGGTCTCCCCAGGGACTGGTGCATGCATGACTGTGTGCCCACATTGCTGGGTGGCCAGTGGCACTGAGACCTCCAAGAATGGCCTGAGTCTGAGGGCCGGGTCTAGGCTCCAGTTCTAGGCTGGCTTTCTAGATCCAGTTCTGGGCTGTGGATTTAGGTTCTGGACTCAAGACTTGTTCTCAGCTCTAGTTTGAATTTTGGGGCTGAACAGGGGGCTGGGGTCTGGTTSTGGGTCCAGCATCATGTTCAGGACTCTGGGCTGCTGATCCATTTCCAGGTTCTGTCTCTGGGTTCTGGTTTGGGACTGAGATCCCAGGCTCTGAGTCTGGGGTTTGGTTCTGGTTCCCAGGCTGGGATGTGGTTCTGAGCTCTGTGTCCTAGATTGGGGAGCTGGGTTCTGGATTCAGTTCTGAGCTGGAGCTCTGGGCTCAAGTTCTGGCAATGGCTCCATTCTGGGGCCTTCTGAGTTCTGGGCTCTGTCCATTCATTGGGGCTCTGGGTCATCTCAGTCCTGCTATCGGGCCAGGGCTGAACCCTGCCATTCCCCTCAGGGCTRAGCCCCCCATCCCTGGGACTGAGCTCCCCAGTCCAGGGGGTGAGTTCTCTGTGCCTGCCTTGGGCTGAGCCCCCTGTGTCTCCTCAGGGCCCCATTTTGTAGCTGTCAACAACAAGAATGAGATTGTGGTGACTGACTTCCACAACCACTCTGTGAAGGTGAGCATAGCCACAGGCAGGTGCTGGGGTCCCCATGGTGCTGTCGGGGCTGGTGGCTGCAGTGACCTCCATGACTCCCACGTGTTGTCCCCCCTGTGCCCACCAGGTGTACAATGCAGAGGGCGAGTTCCTCTTCAAGTTCGGGTCGCATGGGGAGGGCAACGGGCAGTTCAACGCACCCACAGGAGTGGCCGTGGATGGCAACGGCAACATCATCGTGGCCGACTGGGGCAACAGCCGCATTCAGGTACCACACCTGAACCTGCACCTGTGCCTGCACACCTGCACCTGTACCTGCACAGACACCTGTGCCTGCACAGACAGACACCTGTACCAGCACAGACAGACACCTGTACCAGCACAGACAGACACCTGTACCTGCACACACACCTGTGCCTGCACAGACACCTCTACCTGCACACACACCTGTACCTGCACAGACACCTGTGCC